TATTATCTATAATTATTTTTTTAATATTTTTGCATTTTAAAAAAGTAAATCAGAGCTGAATGAATACAAAAACGCAGACAAATTTGCCTGCCTCAGTCTACAATCTAAGGGATACCAATATCAATCTGATATTAGAAGTATGATAAAATGTTTGAGAAATATAATATTATATAAATAAATTTTAATAGAATATATGAGCATAAGAGACCTGCATAATAGAAATTTCAAATTAGATAAAATAGTATAAATCTTAATAGTTATGCTAACTAACATTTAATTTAAAAAAAAGTCTAAGTATAAAGAATACAAATCAAGTAGATACAAATAAATCTGTTATATAAGATCGAACAGCAACACCAACTTAGCTTGATAACTAACTAGATTTGAGAGAATCTATCTTATAAAACATTTAGAAAAACTAAAAGACTAATCTGATGAAAAGCTATAACAAGAACTAAATTTGTATAAATACTGATAAAGATATATGTTAATTTAATTAAGATATAGCATAGTATAGTTGAAATCATCTACAAATTTTTTCTTGAATAAAACTAATAAAGTATTTTGAAATAAAACCTTTCCTAGTAAGACAATTTGAAATACAAGTTAATCTAAGTAATTCTTAAATAAGACAATATAGGATTAATGTAGATAAAAATATTAGATTAAAAAATAAGGTTTCATAATAATGCCAGAAAGTTTAAATAAAGTATCTACAGACAGATACTAGATATAGCAATCAGTAGATAACCTAAAAAAACAAAACCTTTAAATAAACAATAACTAAAGTTATACATATAACCAATTATACTCTTACTAACTAATATAAACTTAAAAAATAATACTTAATAAAAATCTGCAAACAGCTTGTTGAAAAAATAAAAAATATTATTAATATAAAAATCTACAAACAGCTTATTGAAAAATAAAAAATATTATTAATAAACTTTTTAATTTATAAAATAATATAATGTATCAAAAGTGATGATATAATAATAAATTATTGAGAATTTTATTTTAATAAATTTAAAGTTAAATAAATTGTTAAAAATGAATAATGATTTTGTTATTATTATACGCGCTATAATATGAGTTAAATCAGTTTTTTTTTTTTTTTTTTTAGTAACGAAAATCTCTATTCAAGAATTAAAACATTCTAAGATGCTTCTAAAAAGTCTTCTACTCACAAAGATGTTAATAATTATCTATCTGATTGAATTACTCATTTGATGCTTTACGATGCGATGCAGGTTTGAGTTTCAATTGTACATTAATTCTACTTGATAAATTATAACTAAAATTAAACTATATTCTAAAGTAAATTATAGTTTCATAGAAATTATATATGCAAGCATCGAACAATTAGATTGTAATACTCGCAACATACCATATGCGCGATTATAATCAAAAGATCGACTTGTGTCAGGATAAGAGATATTGATGTCAATGATCACAAATTAATCACAAGTCAATTGCTAGATTTAGATCGATTCTTTCTTTCCCCTTACAAAATAGTACTTGGATTTGTTATTAGATTTTAATCAGGTGAATATATTTTTTTTACATCAGATAATCTGATAAGTTTAAGTATTTAAATAAAATTTAAATATTCGTTATATTGAATGAAATATCAACGTGATTTCTTTGAAGTATTGTGCATAAGTAGGAGAAGTTGATAATAAAGGAGAGAGTAAATTCAGAAGCATAATTAAAATAGAGAAAAATGTTGAATATAACATCTAGCGAAAGTTTAACGAAAATTCAAGGGTTTCTTCGATGGATATTACAATGATCAATTTAAAAGACAAAAATAAGAAGGTCAAAAAAAAAAATAAATACCTTTTAATACTGAACACAATGGCGAATGACTTTTTAGCAATGCGAGGAATATGACCATAGATATCAGTATGTTTTACGCAATTTTGTGTAAGTTTCGGTAAATCAATAGTTCATGTAATCATAGCTTTGAACACATGGTGTTATAATTTTTCATCATTTTCATCATTTAAATGTCGTAATGATTGAGCTCCAAAGAGCGACAATGCGAATCATTTATTCCCTCACAATCAAAATATAAAAACCAAATTGTAAAAAAAAAATAAAAAAAAAAATAAAGTAATTTCAAATCATAGGTATAGGATTATATTGTGCAATTTAATAAAAGATTATCGATTAGCCTTGTTGTTCCAACGTATAGAGCACCAGATAAAATAGCACCACTTTCACCAACTTCGTCAATTTCTTGCAAATTTATAGAATCCACAAGCGAAAGATAATCTAATTTTATAGAAAACCCTAAATTTTGATCATTCACGTATTTGGATTTATTTTCAATGAGTTCATACGCAGGAGAAAGAAGACTTCTTCGATCACGAATATTTTGTTCAAATGCACTCTTTACCACGTTCAAACTTTGATATAATAATGTGGCAACTTTTCGCATTTCAGGTGTGAGATATCTATTTCTAGAACTCATGGCTAATCCATCTTCCTCCCTTACAGTGGATCCAACATGCATTTCCATTGGAAAATGTAAATCACGAATTAAATTCTTAATAACTATACATTGTTGAACATCTTTCTGACCAAAGAAAACATGATCAGGTTGGACGATGTTAAATAATTTTACAACTACAGTCGCAACACCACGGAAAAATGTGGGACGAGTCGCGCCTTCCATCTTTTTTTTTTTTTTAATAATAAAATAAATTGATATACACTATAATTGCTAATAAATATGATATCAATTCAATTATAGTAATTTACCTGATGAGATTTTCCCTTTACTTCTACAAAAGTACCAAGTTGTTTATCTACATCCGTAACAATTCCGGTCGGATAGATATCTTCAACTTTTGGGAGAAAAACAGCATCAACATTATTCAAGGCAGTTATTTTAGCAAGATCATCAGATAAAGTACGAGGATACTTGTCAAGATCTTCATTAGGAGCAAATTGAGCAGGATTTACAAAAATAGAGACAGCAACAGCCTGACAAAGTTCGCTTCCTTGCTTCACTTAACGAATGAAACAGTAAAACAGTGATAAGTCATATTATACTTCATTAAAACTTATTTTTTTGGAAATAATCCAATAATTCACTTAGGCTCAAGTGTCCTTCATGTAAGCAACCCATGGTAGGAATAAACCCGACGAGTTTTCCTTCCTTAACCATTTGGCGACGCCAATTACGTAACGAAGGTATATTTTCAAAAATTTGCATATTCTTTAAGATTGAACTTCTCATGTTTAGAACATATTGTTATTTTTATATAGTTAGAAACTGAGTGCATTTTAAAAAAATTATTTTAGAGTAAAAATCACATGAAAATTCAACTGATAAAAATTAAGTTTTTTATCGGCCAATAAAAAAAACCATCTGAAATAGGTATCAAGCTTTTTTTTGAATAGGTTATCTTAATAAATTTTGAGTAAATTCATTTTACTTTGTCCACGTACGTACAACACTGGCTGTCCCACTACTCATGATGAACTTATAAAAAATACCGATGGTAATAAAGATATTATTATATAAATGATAGTGATATTTTAAATTATGTGTTTAATTTTTTTAATCCATTCTAATAATAGGCGTATATTATGAAATGTGGCAAAAGCAATTACGCGACGACGAAACTGCAACTAAGGTTATTGACAAAACCGAAGTGCAAAGTACTGGCGCATCTCGAGACAGAATAAATCATCAACATGAAAAAATTCCAGGGTCAGGAATTCTCATTTCATACTCTTTTGGAAGTTTATAAATTAATCGATCTAACTCCAAGCGTACGTTTCTTGAATTTATATTTAAGATCTTTTTGAAATTTAATGAAAACAGCTTTTTTTTTTTTTTTTAGGAAGTTGAAGAATTAGTTGATGAATGGAGATAATATAATCTAGCAAGGATACTATAATCTAGCTATATAATCTAAGAACATTAGTAAATAATTTGTATAACTATCGATAACCAAAGTAACCAAAGTTGAATATTTTTATACCGATATACCTATATTTTATTTGTGATACATTATCTACTGTATCTTATGACTAGACTAATGTTGTACAAATTATTTTGAACTAGTACATCTTTAAATCTCAAAAAAAAATCGATATTAAAAAAAAAAAAAAAAAAAAAACGATCGATATTTTAAATACAATGATATTTTATACCTTATGGTAATTTTACAAATATCAATACAAGACAGATCATTTAATACACAACTTACAAATGAAGGAAAATAATCAGTATTCTGAGCTATTTACGAGCTCAAAAAAGCATATCAAACCATTTGTAGATATATTTTTTTGTTCTAATCTAATTTAGAAGAAGCATCAACCGCACTATGAGCAGCTTCTTTTATTACTCCGTCAACTTTATTTTTCCAGTTATTCAAATTCTTGTCAATATCTCCTTGATAGGATAAGAGAGTTGGTCTCAAGAATTTAGAATAAATAAGCTGAGCACCTCTGAAGGGTGGAAGTAATAACCTATAATGAATATGTGAAAAATATGAAATTTTAATATTTATTACGTATTAAATTGTTTTAAGCGAGTGTTCATCGAACTATTCTTTGTGTCACCCATTTATTACTATATTTACAAAATTAAAAGATAAACTCACCAAAGGAAAAAGATAGTTTTGAAGAAGAAATAGAATGGGATCCAGTAGAGGATAATATCAGAGAAGAATTCGATCATATTAATAAACCCATAAACTGTCCTAAAAAAAAAAAAAAAAAAAAAAAAAAGTGATTTAATTATGATAATCATAATGACGAAATATCCGCCTGAAATATAAATGTTACGTCCAGAAAAAACGCCCATATAAAAGTCGGACATTTAAAAATTAACTTAAAAAAGCTCTTTACCAGTAAGTAAGCCATTGAACATCGTCTGAGGTCTCTGGACTTTCAATAGCCTTAAACGAAGCATAGGCTGTGTTAAAATAGTCGTCGAATTAGACATTTAGTTAGAAATTTTGTAACGTAAGTTGTTTCTACTACTTGTTTTCGTGTATACCTGGATAAAGCCAACCGATAACGTCGGAAAGCAATTCACCCCAAACGTTGAAAAAGATCAATGTAAATACGAATGTTACGACTCCAGCGGCCATATAAGTTTTTGGAACATTAGTCTGTTTTTCCAAGGCACAAATTTGAGGATATTTTGAGAGCTCCTTGTCAGCTTGGGCATTAAAATACTTTAATCTTTCTTGAATAGAATCCATTTTTTTTTTTCGTTTAATAAAAAGAAATATATATAATGTTAAGGTCGTGAAAAGGACTTTTTGCTACAAACACCAATTGGGCCTTTAAATATCACCTCAAAATTTCTTAATTCGCTGAATAATCCATAGAAATGATGATTGTTCTGATAACGATAATGCAATTTTCAAAGCACAGGTAACACGAACGTGACATTTAATCCGCAAACTTTACTTTCCCACAGTTGAACATTGCAGCAAATCCTTGCCTCAATTTCTTTATCGACTCATCTAACATACTCTTTGGAACTTTTTCTTTGTCCAAAAATAAGTTAGATAATACAGCAATATGTATAAAAGTGGAAATAAACCGCAATAAAAAAAAAAAAAAAAAATTATACATAACTAATTTCATGTACCATTCGATCACGTGCTAATCACACATAATTTCATAATACGTAATACAATTAATAGAGATTGTTTAACGTTAACAATACATACTCATATATTTAATCTACCTCTTTTTCTTAGGTTCAATGTTTTCGTTTTTATCTTCATTTTTATCTTTCTTTTTATCTTTATTCGTCCCAATGGCTACACCTCAACAGCTTTGGAATATTGGTGCAATTCTAGGTAACATATTAACTTAAATTTTTTCGCGTTTAAATAATGCTTACTAAATCAACGCTTTAAATTGAGTAGGTGCTTCAGGAATTGCGTTGGGCTCGTACGGCAAGGGTCTTTTACTATAAATGGTCATGCAACATTTAGCATAATATATATTAATCTTAAATTGAACTTTCTAGGAGCACATAAGATTAAAAATTCTGAAAAATCAAAGGTAACCTAAGCTATCCGTATTATTTGTTCATACAAAAAAATTTCTATATAAATGTGTTTTACGTTACATATCTGATTTATATATATATATATACATTCTAAAAAAATATATATTTTTTAGAGTTGGGAAATAGCAACTTATTATCAATTAATTCACTCAATTGCACTTATTGCTTTTTCAAACCTAAGAAATCCTGCTACAAATAAACCACCAACATTAGCTGGTAGTTTAATCGCTGTAGGTACCATTTTATTTTCTGGTAGTATATATTTCTTAATTTGGAATAAATCAAAATCAAAATCTAAGTTAGGTTTTATAACCCCTGTTGGTGGTATCTTAATGATGGCGGGCTGGGTTACTTTATTATTATTTTAAATGAATTTTATTAATTCAAAAATTTTTATAATAATGCAAATTAATAATTTTATAATAATTTTTTATCCGAATTTTTGGTTTTAGATCATATAAAAAATATTAATTTCGATTTTTTTAAATTATATTTTTAATTTTTTTTTTATATTATTGAAGGGCTTATTTTGGTTTTATTTTTTTATTATAAATATATTAATGTTAAATTTTATATTTAATATTAAAGTTTTGTAAAATAAATATTATGATATTAGAAATTGAAACAAATTTATATAACGTTAAAATCTAGTTTAGTTCTAATACTTAAGTTATTTTTTTTTTTATTAACTACTAAATAAATTTGAATATTAAAAGTTTAATTAAACTAAAACTTGACTTTTAAACTTTTTGTAATTTTCTTTAACATACTATCTCTTGCTAATTTAAATTCTAAACTAAATATTCTTCTGTTCTTATCTACTTTTTCTTCTTCTCTTGTAAGAAAATCTAGTTTAATTTCTTTTATTTTTTTTCTTAACTTTACTGATTTTCTTATTTTTAAGTGATATTTTTTTACTTTTCTTTCAATTATTTGTTTTAGTACATTTTTCAGTTCAAATATCCTTTAATTCAAAAGTTCCAAAACATGTATCAAAACTTTGTAGTAGATTTTTCTGTACTAATTACTTCTTTTATTTTTTTATATTATTTTTGTTTAGGATCTTTTACAACTATTTGATATTTTGTATTTGTTTTTCTTCTTCAATTATTCTTGAGATGATCTATAATATCTTTTAGAAATCTTAATTTTCTTTTTTTTCTAAACTTCCAAAATTATTCTTAATAATATTTCTTGTATTTTTTCATAGTAGATAATATATTTATTTAATTCTAGTTCTTTAAAATATTTTTTGTATATATTGTCTTTATAAATATTAGGTTTTTTGATATTTAATACTCTAACTATAAGAAGTAAGTTTTTAATATATTTGACTTTAAATATATAGAGATAATTTGTTTTTGTACTTATTCTTTTCTACTTATAGTAGCTTTTTAATAAGCTTTTAAATAATTTCTAGTTTTAATTTCTAAAATAATATTAATATTATTTATTTTTTTCTTTCTTAATTAAATCTATTTAGCTTTATATATTGTTTGAACTATTTTTTTAACAAAAGCTTTAAGTAGTATATCAAGTTTATAATTATTTTATTCTAGAATAAACTTAATATTCTTAATATTAATATTATTAATTTTTAACAAAAAGCTATTATTTGTATCTTCTTTTGCTAGCTGATTTGCTATATTATTATAAGTTTTCTAAATAAGTTTTAACTTTAATTAGATCTAGTTATACTTTTTTGTTTCTGCAAACTTTAACTATTGCTCATAAGAAGCTAATATAAGTTCTTCTATACTATATTTTTTATTTATTAAATAAAAGACTAGATATAAGTAGAAAAGGAAATAGAAACACAAATTTTGATATATAGATCATGAATTAGCTTAAAAATACTAACTATATAGAAGTCTTTCATTTCTATAACTCAGACTATTCAAGTATCATAGTCAAATAGCAAGATATTAATAAGAATAGATTATATATAGACAATAAATAGTAAGAGCATGACCTTGAGCAAGAATAATATGAATGTTGAAAGTGTAATCTTAAAGGAGCATGATATAAATATTGAAAACATGATTTTGAGAAAGAATGATATGAATGTTGAGAATGTAATCTTGAGAGAGAAAGAGAAAGAAAATAATATAAATAATATAAATAGGATAGTGAATAATATAAACAGAAAAGTATTTGTTGCATTAGTTGTAATAATTCTAATAGTTGTCTAGTATTTTGATAGTATAAAAAGTATAAAGAGAATTGATAGAAATGTAATTGTTGTACTAAGAATTAATATGATTAGTTCATTCTTAAAAAGATTTCTTAAATACTTACTATACTTTTAGAATCTTTTTTTAATTTTTTTTTTTATATTTTAAGTGATCTTGCCTGTCATTTATTAAGAGAAAGCTAACAATAAGCAAAAAATAATCTAATATAAAAACTATACTAATTTGTTCTCTCTAGACTAATCTGGACTAACTCAGCTATCTCAAGGGTACCCAAGTTCGATCTACTGCAGAAGCTATTTTCTTATGAAAACCTTAGTCTGTATATACAGACATTCAGAATCTGATCAACAAAGGCAACTCCCAGCTATATATCAAGATTCTAGGTCTTTCTCTATCTAGTTAGAGCTAAGTAAAGAGAAGTTAGTACCTAGTCTCAAGATATAAAAAAATTAAAAATTGTATAGACCTAAGTGGTCACAGTCTATAACGAAATCTATACTAGAAAAACCTGCTACAGATAAAGAAAACTAATATAGAACAAAAAACAGAAAAAGAAAAAAGATAACCAAGTACCCTATAATCTGAGTCAGGCTTAAAAATTTTAAGTTGTGCAACTTATAACCTATCTCAAATAATTCTCTTTCTAACGTAAAGTCCATCTTAGAAAATCAAATCCTATAGCATCAAGGTCATATTACAGACACAACAACAAACAAAGTACGTGACTTTGTTTACTACATGAGGTTGCACATTCATAGAGTATTTCTGAAAATGGAAGGAGTAAACAATACTAATCTTTTGTAGGGGAGAACTTGGATTTCCTACTTTTGTCGAAAAAAAGGAAGACTAAGAGGAAAAAGCTTGTGATAGAATATTGTTTTTTGAAGCCCAAAGGAGTATGTAAACAAAATAGTTTATTGTCCTCTATTCTTAAGTCTTCTTTTACCAACTTCGTTAACAAAGAGCTCTTTTTTTTTGTCTCTTTACTAAAATTTTTTATACAAAGGCTCTACCTGCCAATTATCTTGTATAATATTACTTTTAGCTTACATGTTAAATATACAAAGGAGTCCCTAGTAGCAAGTCTAGTTGACCTCCATAAAAACCATTATATTGTAAAAAAACCTTCTTTATCATCCATAATAAAATTTTTGTTTTTTGCTTTTCTGAATTTTTGGAAAAAAAGATCGTCGAAAAGAGTTTAGAATTTTTTTTTTTTTTTTTTTTTTTTTTTTTTATTATTATTAAGGTGGCTTCCTTTGCTGATTAGATTTTATTAATTTGTTATTACAGAGCTACCACATGAGTAGACTTCTAGGGTTTTATAGTTACATGATGAGTGTACAACAAGCTATACATACAACTTTAGTCATTGTCTAATTTAAGTAGTTCACTATACAGACAATCGACCATCAGTTGGTTCTACACATGCTGCCATACCTGCAACCCACCTGTGAGTTACCTATTTAAACATTCTGATCATTAATCCTTCCCTCCATCCCAAACCAACGTTACCACTATGACCGACCACTTAAGCCAGCTGGTTTACCTGTAGATCCATTTACTGCACAGCTTAGGTCCTCTTGGGATACGTATGCCCAACATATTGTGAGCTACAGAGCTCTGGTTAACCTTGGAAGCATACCTACTAGAGTGGTCTATGTCTATTTTACGAATTTACCTAGCTAAGACCCTTGTGGATATTTATGCGACTCCAGTTCCTATTGTAGCTCTCCACTAGTGTTGTTTACAGATCTCGCCGAGGCCTATCATGAGCTAGATCCTCCTAATCTAGTTAGGCGCCAAGCTATGTTGGTGTTACTGTAACATATAGTGATCACCACTGTGATATAGACTTATACACACCTAACTCAATTAAAGTCTTTGAGTACTGTGTTCTTCTGAATTAAGTGTTAGCTGGTGTGACTGTTGAAAGCCGTACTATTTCACTTACTTAAGGTTTCTACCATGCAGGTCCTCTGCCCATAGATCCTATTAAGATTTATTCGTATAATATTACGTCTCTCCAAACATTACATCATACTTTCAATATTCGGATAATATTGGTACAATGTGATTTACAGGGTTACAACCTCAGAAACGAACAGAGTTTACTGTAAGTTGAGTACAAAGGTTTGGATAATTATTCAAATTTGTCGACAGTGGGATTTGAACCCCAAACCTCTTGCATAGTGATCTGGCAACCTAACTACTACACTAAGATTGCCAGACCTAGTTTAGAATCTTTTTTTAAACTATTAAAGTTATAATTAATTTAAATATTTTACTATTAAAGATTATTGAAATAGAGTAATTTGATATAGTAAAATTATAGAGATATCATAATAAGTTGTTTTTGTTATTTTCTATTTCAAAGACTGAAAAAAAATACTTTATTTTTCTAATACTTTATCAGTTGTACTTATATAACTAAAAAAATAATAATAATAAGAATAATAATTTAAATAAATAAGAAAATTATACAATTAAATATACTCTAATAATGATATAACTTATCTCTTTTGTTTTGTTATTATACAATTTCCTAAGATTAATTCACTATTTATGTTATTATAAAAAAGTTAAAATGTAAATATAATAAAGATATAATTACTTAAGTATATATATTTTTTATTAATAAAAATAATAATCGATCATGATTATTTCAAAGACTGCTAATTAATATTAAATTTAATTTCAAATTACTAATAATAAAAAAGTAACTAAACGATTATTTCCCGTACATCAATTTTATACACAAAACAAAAACTGAAAAAAGGGGAAAAGTTACAAAAACTACTAACAAAATTA